GCTTGACCAGAGGGTGGCCTCCCCCATCCAGGAACTGGGTTTCAAGGGTTTCCCTAAACCCCAAACCCTAAACCCTAAACCCTAACCCCTAACCCCTAACCCCTAAACCCTAAACCCTAAACCCTAAACCCTAAATTTTAAAATGAAACCCCAAACCCTAAACCCCTCTCAACCCCAGGTCTCCAAGTGCCGAGCGAGCCCGCACCAGGCACTCCCTAAACCCCACGCCTTGCAGACGGGACTCTAAACCGTAAAAACCCTAAAGCCGTAAACCCAAAGCCCTAACCCCTAAACCCTGAACCCTAAACCCTTTTAAGCCCTGGAAGGAGTCCCTGGACCGGGTCCGCTCTCTGAATGTAGATGAGCTCCGAGACAGGCTGGGCGGCAAGATGTCTGAGGACCGATGCCCAGGAAGTTTTTCGGGCCTCGGGCTTAGGGTTTAGGGTTTAGGCTTTTGGGTTTAGGGCTTCAAAAAGCCTGTTGAAAGGAAGGCCTATAAGGGCCTGAGGGCCTTCAAGCTTTCTAGGCTTTGCCCCGAAAGGCTTTCAAGCACTCAAGCCCCTGATGCTGGGCTCTCTTTAGGGCCCCGGTGTCCCCAAGAGAATCCTAAACTAAACCCTCCTAGGGAACCCAATATCCCTTCGACAAGTTAAGTTCACAGACCTTTAAGTATTAAGGGATCCTCATGCTGCGAGCCTAAACCCTTATTTACAACCCCGCTGAGGCTCCACAACCCCTGAAGAACCGCAAGCTCAGCACTTGAAGGGTTTCTGGAGCGAGCCGAAACCCTAAACCCTAAACCCCAAACCCCAAACCCCAAACCCCAAACCCCAAACCCCAAACCCCAAACCCCAAACCCCAAACCCCAAACCCCAAACCCGAAACCCCAAACCCCAAACCCCAAACCCTAAACCCTAAACCCTAGACCCTAAACCCGAAACCCCAAACCCTAAACCCTAAACCCTAAACCCTAAACCCTAAACCCTAAACAGCAGGATCAGCTCCAGAAGCTGGCCAAGAAGTTGGCCACCATGAGCCCCGAGGACCTCGCCAGCTTCGCGGCCGGCCTTCCTTCCGTGAAGAAGCTCTTCGTATAGGGTTTGGGGTTTAGGGTTTAGGGTTTTAGGGTTCGGGGTTTAGGGTTTAGGGTTTGGGGTTTAGGGTTTGGGGTTTGGGGTTTGGGGTTTAGGGGTTTGGGGTTTAGGGTTTGGGGTTTAGGGTTTGGGGTTTAGGGTTTGGGGTTTAGGGTTTGGGGTTTGGGGTTTAAGGTTTGGGGGGGCGGCTAGGTCTCTTCCACCGACGTGCTAAGGGCATCTTCTCAGGGTTCAGCATTGGGAGTTGCGGTTTCGGGCGTGTGCGGAGATGGTTGTAGGGTTTGGCCTGGTGTTCGGCATCTCGTGCCGAAAGCCTTGCGGAAAGCTCAGAGTCGGACATGTTTAGGGTTTAGGGTTTATCGTTTGGGGTTTAGGCGGGCGTAAAGAAACGCTCTTTGGATGCATCATGGCTGCTCGAAGCACCACGCGATAGAACACGCGGGGCAGCCGCATGCCGCAGTGCTATCGGCAGTGCCGCGTGCCTGCAACATGGGCTCGGGTCACTTGTCGAGGGCAAGAATGACTCAGGAATGGCAACTTGCAGTCCATCTGCTCCGGGACATGTTGCCAGTAGTAAGGGGCCAGCGCAGAGCCATCGCGCGCTGCGGAAAGCCAGGCAGTGGCAGGTTGCCATCGAAGTTCTTGCAGAGGCAGCGATCGCTGAGGTGCCACCCGATGTTTATAGCTTCAGCACAGCAATCACAGCATACAAGAAGGGCTTGCAGTGGCAGCTCGCACTGCGACCCCTTTCGCAAATGGCATCTGCGCGACTGGATCCAACGATGATCAACTTCAACTCCACCATCAGCGCCTGTGAGAAGGGTCGTGCGTGGCAGCGGGCCTTGAACCTGTTTTCGCAGATGCCGGCAGCCAGAGTCGTGCAAGACGTGATTAGCTTCAATTCCGCCGTTAGCGCCTGCGAAAAGGGCGTCATGTGGCAGCTGGCCCTGAATCTGTTTTCGGAGATGTCGAAGGCCGGAGTGGTGCCCGACGAGATCAGCTTCAGCGCTGCCATGAGCGCCTGTGAGAAGGGTCGTATGTGGCAGCAGGCTCTGAGCTTGTTTTCGCACATGTCGAAGGCCAGAGTGGTGCCGGACGTGATCAGTTTTAGCGCTGTCATCAGCGCCTGTGAAAAAGGACGTGTGTGGCAGTTGGCCCTGAACTTGTTTTCGAAGATGTCAAAGGCCAGAGTGGTGCCAAACGTGATCAGCTTCAATTCCACCATCAGCGCCTGTGAGAAGGCTGGCGAGTGGCAGGTGGCCCTGAATTTGTTTTCGCAGATGTCCGAGGCCAGACTGGTGCCAGATGTGATCAGCTTCAATTCCGCCATCAGCGCGGCTGGTGAGTGGCAGTTGGCACTGAACTTGTTTTCGCAGATGTCGAAGGCCAGAGTGGTACCAGACGTGATCAGCTTCAGCGCTGCCATCACCGCCTTTGAAAAGGCCGGTGAGTGGCAGATGGCTCTGAACGTGTTCTCGCAGATGTCGACGGTCAGAGTGGTGCCAGACGTGATCAGTTTTAGCGCTGCCATCAGCGCCTGTGAGAAGGCTGGCGAGTGGCAGCAGGCCCTGAATTTGTTTTCGCAGATCTCGAAGGCCAGAGTGGTGCCGGATGAGATCAGCCTGAGCGCTACCACTAGCGCCTGCGAAAAGGCTGGTGAGTGGCAGCTGGCCCTGGACCTGTTTTCGCAGATGTCGAGGGCAAGAGTGCTGCCAGACGTGATCAGCTTCAGTGCTGCCATCAGCGCCTTTGAAAAGGCCGGTGAGTGGCAGCTGGCCCTGAATTTGTTGTCGCAGATGTGGAACGTGAGAGTTGTGCCAAACGTGATCAGCTTCAATGCCACCATCAGCGCCTGTGAGAAGGCTGGTCAGTGGCAGATGGCCTTGCAGTTGCTATCGCACATGTCGCAGACCAGAGTTTTGCCAGACGAGATCAGTTTCAATTCCGCCATCAGCGCCTGCATCATATGACGAGATTCAAAGTTCAATACTCTTGAGACTTGATGTACGCTCTGTCCCATCGCTAAACCCTCAAGCGTCAAGCGCGTTCGAGTGCTATCTTGGTTTTAGGGTTTCCGCTATAAGCTTGAACAGGCTTGGCTCGGGTTTGACGAAAGAACCCCTCTACAACCCCTCTACAACCCTCTAAATCACCCTCTTAACCCCTCCAAAACTCTCTAAAAACCCTTGAAAACACCCTCCCCTCCCAGTTACCAGTGTGGAGCCGTGGCGCCCCAAACCCTGAACCCGGGCAAGCCCCAAGACCTGGGCAACCCTTAAGCCCTTAAACCCCAAGCCCTAAACCCTAAACCCTAAACCCTAAACCCGAAACCCGAAACCCGAAACCGAGACGCTCGACAGTCAGAAGCTTCTCATGCGCCGAGGAAGGCATCGGAGGAGAAGCAGAAGACCGCTGAGGAGCCGGTGCGCGAGAGCGCCCTGACTCAGGTAGAGGGTAGGGTTTAGGGTTTAGGGTTTAGGGTTTAGGGTTTAGGGTTTAGGGTTTAGGGTTTAGGGTTTAGGGTTAGGGTTCAGGGTTTGGGGTTTGGGGCTTGGGGTTTGTGGTCCCAGCTGTTTTATGTCTGGGTTCAAAAAGGCTATGGGGCTTGGGGTTTAGGGTTTAGGGTTTGCCGTTTTGCATCTACTGAGGCATAGGGTTGAAGTTTGCTGGTTAGGGGTGTAAGGTGTAGTTTAGGGTACTGTGCAGGCAGTCAAGTTCCGGATACAGGGCTGAATAATCGTAGAGGGGTCAGGGACAAGGAGGCAAGATCTAGGGGTTGAAGATGTGGGATAAATAATTTTCAAAGGGCTTCAAAGCAACACCCAGTTGAGCTATCCCTAAACCATAACTCCTATCCGAGAAGGTTTAAGGTTATGGCTATATGGTTAAGGGTTTTGGTTTAGGGTTTAAGGTCTAGGTTTTTGGGTTTAGGGACCCAGAAAGATCCAGAGGAAGACGGTTGAAAGGATTGAAGAAGGAAGTGCAACTGAGCAAGTGCAGGTGCGAGGTAAACAGGCTTCCGTCCGCAACCTGGACTAGCTCTTTGGGTTTCAGATGCTTCAGAGAAGCCCGAAGACGGATGTCTTATAGGGTTTCGGGCAGGGCTTGGGAAGAGGGCTTAGGGCTGAATTGAAGTAGAAGTAAACCGTTACGCCAGAGGTTGTGCAGTTCGTTCCGGTTCAGGTTTGGCAGTTCCGATATCACCTTATGGCTAGCGACGGCTTGGTGAGTCCGTGCTGCGCTGAGGTGTGATCGTGGACTGAGTCTTTCTTCAAACCGCAGCGACCACCCAAAATTGCACGGCGTTGTGGAGACAAAATCAAAGATGCCCGTCCAAATCTCCAGCTCAAGTTGTTGAGCTTTGCCTCGTCACGTCAAGGGCAACATCCAAGCGGGTATTTCCCAAAGTGCTGTGGTGCCTCCCGTCTAATATACCCCGAAGGACTCTGCCCCCCGCTTACAGGAACCAGTCGTGGTTGCGTGGGCACTAAGCCTCAACCCAATACACCCCAAGCCTAAATCCAACACAAAGGGAAAACAAAGGGATCAAGCTACTGGGCTCACTCTTCATCCCCTGTTCGTGCTGTGATATTTGGTTGGTATTGTGGGTTGCTGGGTCCTTTGGATCAGGCGACTCTTGTTGACCTCCAGAAGCCATGCCTGCCGTGCCTAAACCCTAAACCCTCCTAAAAAGGCACTGAATCCTAAACACTAAATCCCAAAACCCCAAAACCCTCCCAAACCCTAAGCCCAAGACCCTCCCAAAAGGCCACAGAATCCTAAGCCCAAACCTTCCCAGAAAGGGAACGAAATCCGAAACCCAAAGCCCTCCCCAAAAAGGGCACCCTTTTCTTTTTTTGCCGCGTGGCCTTTATCACGTCAGCTTTCAGCTTCTGCCTCGCGCAGGTAACTCGGTGGCCGCACACCTGAAGGACCCTCGAGTTAGGAAAGTCCCTTTTTGTGGTTTTAGACAAAAAACAAAACACATAGCGAAACCACACACGTGTGCAAAATCAGAAGCTTATACATATATATATATATATATATATATATATAGACATCTAAGTTCCTTTGGGCCGTGTTTGGGGTTCATGATCCAGGGTTTAGGTCACTAAAGGAAAAAGGTCGTCAGAGCGTCCTAGCAGATAAGCACAAATCCCGAAACCTTGGTAGGAAACGTGTTTAGAGTTTTAGGGTTTGGGGTTTAGGTTAGGGTTTAGTCCTCAAACTTGGAATGTTCCCCCTTATACTAACAGTCCTTAATATGGATTGCAGTACCCCCCCCCTCCCCAATATAATCCCTACTAACTAAGGACTGTTGAATTCAACTTCGCCTGAGCTCTTTCAACTCCTGTCAACAATCGTTTTGTCGGTGCCGCATAAACTCCATAGGGAGGTACCTTACATCATTCCACATAACTCCTTTAGAGCGTTCTTTGAAGGGCTTGAAGGTACGCCCCTGGAATCTGGGCATGAGGGGTATTCAGGGGACCCACAAGTGGGCATAGTCCGACTGATCCTTGGTAAGGAGTGAGGGAATTAGGTACCTGATATCCACCCTTTAAGGGATAAACAAGGGTACCACATTTACTAGAAGCCGGTTCGCTATTCATTTTGCTGCTGCTGCTGCTGCTGCTGCTGCTGCTGCTGCTGCTGCTGCTGCTGCTGCTGCTGCTGCTGCTGCTGCTGCGCGTTTAAGGCCGCGGCTTGTCAACGAGTAGCGATGACGTAGTCGCTTCAGGCTGCTTCCTATAGAGAAATTTAATTTAGGGTCTAGGGTTTAGGGTTTAGGGTTCAGGGTTTAGGGTTTAGGGTCTAGGGTTTAGGGTTTAGGGTTCGGCTGCTTTTTGGATAACAGGCAGAGTGCAAGAACTTATGCGGCGGGATGCCATCAAAGCCCTCGAACTTGGGTGTGCACTACTTGGAGGTTCATGGTACTTAGTAACTAATTATAGGGTTTAGGGTTTAGGGTTTAGGGTAACTAATCATAACTGTCCTTATAGCCCACTTATAAGCCCCTTAAGTGCCCTAGCATGGTTATGAGTACAGTTATAAGTACGGTTATAATTAGTTTCTAAGTACCATGAGCCTCCAAGCATCTGATATCATCTGATGGCGATATTGCTTCATGGACCCATAGAAGCCACTGGCTGCGGCTTTTTACGGTTGGCCTAGGGTGGCCCACCCGAAACCCTACTACCCTGTCGAAACCCGAACTACTCCCGAAACCCTCAAACCCTGAACCCTAAACCCTAAACCCTAAACCCTAAACCCTAAACCCTAAACCCTAAACCCTAAACCCTAAACCCTACTTCCGTTGCTCAGTTTAGGACTGGCGCGGCGGCGTGCGACGCACTGCTGTAGATGCCTTGGCACGGCTTTTCGCAGGTTCGGACGGCAGACTGACGAGTCTATGGGTGTAGCCAAGGGTTTGGGGTTTGGGGTTTAGGTTTGAGGATTGGGTTTAGGGTTTAGGGTTCAGGGTCTAGGGTTAAAAGGGTTTAGGTTTTAGGGTGGAGTTCAAAAAAAGGGGTTGACGGTTTAGGGTAAAACCTCGTGCCCGTACGACACGGGTAGTTGAAGCCTTGAGCCCTGTGCTGTGTCGCAGGGTGTCCTACTGTAGCCTTGTGTGCCTCCTACAGCGTACCAAGGTCCGTAGTTCCCTAAACCCTAAACCCTAAGCCCTAAACGCTAAACGCTAAACCTTAAACCCTATACCCTTAAACCCTAAACCCATGGGGGAAAAAGTGAAGAACCATGGCCAGGCGGCTCTGCACCAGAGTCCGTGCTGCGCAAGCTCGCAGCGACTCGTCACCCGGGACAGGAGGGTACCCTGAGAGGCCCAAGAATCCTTTTAGTTTAGGAAGGTTTAGGGTTTAGGGTTTAAGGTTTGGGGTTTAGGGTTAAAGGGTTGGGGTTGAGGGTGTAGGGTTGAGGGCCTAGGGTTTCTGAGTTTGATGCAACAGAGGGCACCAGTATTTTGAGAGAACGCGGGCAGATGAGGACAGTTCTTTGGAGTTATGGCTTGCGTATTGCCATGAAGCTCTGGCCGTTGGAATGTTTATTGTGGGTATTGTTTTCGAAGCACATGTGGCAGATTTGCAAGCGAGGCATGCTTGGGATACTTCAAACTCCGTAATTTGGGGCACACGTGCGGAAGATGGTTTTGCCTAAGCCCTAAGCGTTAAGCCTAAACCCCCAACCCTAAACCCCAAAACCTCAAGACACCCCAAACCCTAAACCCCAAACCCAGTCGCTCTGCAGCGCCAAGAAAACACCAAACCCCAAACCCCAAACCCCAAACCCCAAACCCCAAACCCCAAACCCAAACCCCAAACCCCAAAACCCTGAACCCCAAACCCCAAAAACTCTGAACCCCAAACCCTAAACCCCAAGCCCTAAACCCTAAACCCCAAACCCTAAAACCCAAGCCCTAAACCCCAAACCCCACTTAAACCCTAAACCTAATCCCCAAATCCTAAACCCCAAGCCCGAAATCCAAGCCCTAAACCCCAAACCCCAAACCCCAAACCCCAAACCCTAAACCCTAAACCCTAAACCCTAAACCCCAAGCCCTAAACCCTAAACCCTAGACCCTAAACCCTAAACCCTAAACCCTAAACCCTGTTCGGAATCTCTAGGGCCTTTGGTGCCGAACCCCCGGTCGGGCTGAGGACCATGTGCAGGACCAGGACATCGAGGTCCGACAGGCGGGAGCCGGACTCTTTTTGTCCCAAACACGATTTTGCAGTTATGCTTCTATTTAGGTTTAGGGTTTAGGGTTTAGGGATGTTTAGGGTTTAGGGTTTAGGGTTTAGGGTTTAGGGTTTAGGGTTTAGGGTTTAGGTTCAGCATCTCAAGTCCAAGCATACACTAGTCAAGCAATTACTCCAGAAAATACCCACCCGCCCAAAGAATCCCACAACATTAAGAAAATATTTCACTTATAGAACGACCTTGCCCAGCAAAAACAATGACCTTGCCCAGTAAAAATGACCTTGCCCAGTAAAAAAATGACCTTGCCCAGCAAAAAAAATGACCCTGCCCAGTAACAGGGTTACTGGGCCAGGTCATTCTTTTACTGGGCAAGGTCAGTTTTTTGCTGGGCAAGGTCTAAAAAAACGACCTGGCCCAGTACAAAAATGACCTTGCCCAGCAAAAAAATGACCTTGCCAAGAAAAAAATGACGTTGCCCAGTAACTCATTAACATTTAAATTATATATGAAAGAGAGGTTTAGGGTCTAGGGTCCTAAGGGAAGGGCTTCAGGGCCCATGGTTTTGAAGTCAAGGCGGTGCGGGTTCACGGTCCTCCATGAGAAGGTTTTCGAGGAGGTGAGGGAGGGGGAAGGGGACGGCCGCACAGGGTTGGCGGACACCTTCCCAACATCCGGTTTGATTTACCCAAGACACCCTAAACCCTAAACCCTAAACCCTAAACCCTAAACCCTAAACCCTAAACCCTAAACCCTAGACCCTAGACCCTAGACCCTAAACCCTAAACCCTAAACCCTAAACCCCCTCTGGGAGGCCACAGCCCGCGTGCTGCCCTCCATCTCCCCCGAGGGCAGCCAGGCTCGGGCTTCTTCGGTTTTTGGGGTGCACAGGGTTTTGGGGTTGTTTAGGGTTTAGGGTTTAGGGTTTAGGGTTTAGGGTAAGTCGCATTTAGAACCTCCAAAAGGTTGCGCAGGGCAAGAAAGTCAAGACTCAGTCAACCGCTTTGGAAGTGGGGCGGCGAGAAGGGGTTTGGGGTGTAGAGATTGTTGCTGCGAAGAGACCTACATCATCGCGATCCACCTTCCATGCAAGAACTACAAAGTCACCCTCGAAAGCTTCCAGATGTGACCCCTATCGGGGACTAGCGTGTCTTCAGCATGCGCTTTGGCAGAGCGCTGCAAGGCGGCTTTGCTTCGCTGGCTCGTAGCCCTCTGAACCCTAAACCTGGAGCCCTTCACCATGTACTCCAAACCCTCAACCCTGGAGTACCAAGTCGCAGCCGTGATTTGCTAGAAACCCGAAAATTCCCAAGCCCCAAACCCCAAACCCCAAACCCCAAACCAAACCCTAAACCCCAAACCCCAAACCCCAAACCCTAAACCCTAAAACCCTAAACCCTACAAAGCCGAAAACCCGAGTCCCAGGCCGTGATCGCTGCCCTGCTGCCCAAGTTGGCGACCATCCGGCAGACCGAGCCGTTGATCCTCACGGTGCAGGCGTTTCAAGGGCTCCATGTTCCAACATTGGAACAGAGAGATGGACTAGTATAGGGGTTGGAGTACTTACTAATTGTATTCCCTCATGGTCCCTATAGATATACTATACTGACACCCAAAACCCTATTTTAATTTATTAAGGCGCCTATACTAGGGTCAGGGTTCAGGGGTTTGCATGTGCTTGAGCTGTTGGCCCGTTGGCTCATCGACGCTGGGCTTTCGTCATGCTTCTTGGCAGGCACGGGCTCACCTGAATCGAGGTTCCAGAACCTACCACCAAAAGTCCCTTGCTTAGGGTTTAGGGTTTAGGGTTTAAAGTTTAGGGTTTGGGGTTTAGGGTTTAGGGTTTAGGGGGTTGTTGCACAGATGTCAAGTGGCCTCATCGCACCTTAGTGGGATCTCGGCGGGAACCGACTCATCCGAAACATCACTCCCTCGCTTTCCCTTGCATGTTCAGACACAGCCGTTTGCCTAACGATGACACCCTGAATCCAAGACCTGGGTGGTTGTTAGGAAGCTTCAGCCAAGTCACCATGATATGGACACATGCCCGGCAACCGGCTTTTAGTGGGTGAAGAAGCCTTGAACCCTAAACCCCAAACCCCGAACCCTTAATGTCGCAGGTTCTGTGGGCCGTGGCAAGACGCGGGGATGGCAAGGTGGTGCGCGCCCTGTGCGGGTTGCTTCAGACGTCGCCTGGCAGATTTTTAGGGGAAAACGCGGCCGCGGTTGAATGCTGTAAGCTTGGTGGCTGAAATGTGCCCCTCTCGCCCCGCCCCCTTGTTTCGGGGGTCTGGGTTCCCTTGAACGAGAAGCCAACCAAAAAAGGGGTACCCTTGTCACAGCATGGATGCTGGGCTACCAAGTTTTGTTCGGGGGAGGTGAGGGTGAACGGGCTAAAGCTGAAGAAGCTTCTGTACGCACCCCCACTTGCAGGTTCAGGGTACTTACAACCCCAATTCTAGCTGTACTTAGAAGCCCCCTTAAGTCCTCCAAGTAGGTGAGAAGTACCCCAATCAAACCCTAAACCCTAAATCCTAAACCCCAAACCCCAAACCCCAAACCCCAAACCCCAAACCCTAAACCCTAAACCCTAAACCCTAAACCCTAAACCCTAAACCCTAAACCCTAATTGGGGTTATAGGTACCCATGAACCGCCAACCAGGAGTGAGGATCCTGGGGTGCGGCAAGAGGCCGCGAGAGGTCTCGGAAAGTTAGGCCGGCTTCGGGAGGCTTCTAGGGTTTAGGGTTTAGGGTTTAGGGTTGGCATCGGGTTGAGGGAGGGCACCTTCAGCCCGAAACCCTAAACCTTCCTTTTGGTGTACACGCTTTGTTGCAATCATGAGCTTGCACGCCTGCCAAGGGCCCTTGAAGGCACAAGAGAAGGGAGTTGGTTGGGTCTAGGGTTTCGGGTTTTGGTTTTAGGGTTTAGGGTTTAGGGCCTTGACGTTGCGGGCCCGCTGGAGCAGAGGAAGAGGCAGCAGCATTTTCTTGGTGTCCGTCTGCTGCATGGAAGCCACACTAAGTTGAGAAGTGGCAGTTTCGTTCACTGCTTTGCTCTCTCCTGCAGAGCGAGCTCGAGCCCGAATTTTGAAACTTAAGTTTTTGGGATCGAAAAGAGCCCAGTACTAGGGTGCAGGACTTGATGTCCAGATTCACTAGAGGGACCCTACCTGGCTGAACACATCGCAGGTGCCCCCAGGGACGAAGGGGACGCGCCCAACAAGCACACGGAGGCCCTTGGTAAGCGATCACGGGAGCACCCGGAGTGCCCTGCCCCACCAAAACCCACGCCCCAAGCTCCTCTTGTTCCAAGTTCCGTGGCATCTCGAATTCAAGACGGAACTGCCGCCACCAAGAACTCATTGCATAGAAGCTACTGTGTCGGATGAGGGTCCAGTACCAAGAAAGAATTGGCCAGCTCGACGGTTCCAAAGCCTGCTGGACAAAAGCCGCAAGGATTCCCACAAAAACCCGTCCGATTTGCTTGAGATGGTGGCATGCCTGGTAGTGGAAGCCGTACGGAGATGGTATCCCAGTTTCTTTCGGGGGCAATCTGTGCCTTACAGAGGTATGTGTTGATGCTGGGTGTTCACTTCGTTTCGTTCATTACCCCATGGCAGTGTGCAGAGCGCCTCAACTCAGCAGGTGGGGAGAAGAGCCCTGAACCCTAAACGCCTAAACCCTAAACCCTGAGCCCTAAGCCCCAAGTCCTCAGTCCTCAACCTCCCCGCAGACGTGCGTGGCCGCCCTCTGCGCGGTCTTGGGTCGGGCCACAGAGCTGCCGGTGATGGTGCCCTGGCGACACCGGCTTTTTTCGAGAATCGGGGGCCTAAACTAAACCCTGAACCCTACACCCTGAACCCCCAAACCCAAACCCCAAACCCTTTTGTTTGTGGACTCCTAGAATCAGGGTTCGGGGGAACCCCTACCTGGGCAAGTATCCACTTGCATGGAGCAGGTCCCAGGTTAGAGTTTAGAGGAGTAGGGATGGTTGACGGAGCCGCTTCTTCAGGCACTTTCGCGCTTAAGGGGGTTCTTTCGAGGTCTGCGGAGTGGCTTTCGAGCGGGTGTCGGGCCGAAAGGGAACCCTGGGCCCTGAACCCTAAACCCTAAACCCTAAACCCTAAACCCTAAACCCTAAACCCTAAACCCTAAACCCTAAACCCTAAACCCCAAACCCTAAACCCTAAACCCTAAACCCTAAACCCTAAACCCTAAACCCTAAACCCTAAACCCTAAACAGTGGAGGTGGCAGCATAAGAGTTCAAGCTACCCCCCCCCCCCCCCACCCCGACGCCCAAACCACCCGCATCATCAGAAGGAAGCCAACCCACTCAGAACTTTGAAGCAAACACTAAACACTAAACCCTAAACCCTAAACCCTAAACCCTAAACCCTAAACCCCAGTCTGCATGGACTGCCGGCACTCTCCGTGTTGGGGTCACGATGGCTGTACCCATGCCCGGAACTCTGAGGCTCTCGCATTGCGAAAGAAGCACTCAACCCAGGTAGGGTCGGTTTAGGGTTTAGGGTTTAGGGTTTAGGGTTTGGGTTTAGGGTTTAGGGTTTAGGGTTTAGGGTTTAGGGTTTAGGTTTTAGGGTTTAGGGTTCAGGGTTTAGGGTTTAGGGTTTAGGAATTAGGGTTCAGGGCATTAGTGTGAGACACCCCTTCTCACACTGTCCGCCAGCTC